AAGAATTTAATTATCGATCTAATGAAATAATTTTTTGATAATTAATAATGTATGATTAATATCTTGTTACATATTATACACCTACAAATATACAAGTATGTGAGCAATTGTACCGAGGATCATATCAACACCTTTTTACAATCATAAAGAAAACAATTTATCTATATTAAGATTCAAGTGCAAGTTTTAATACGTTGAATGAAATAAAGTTTACTGTTTGACCAGGATTTAGTACGTTTAAGCAGGGCTTAGTACGGATATCAATAGTGAAAAGATAATGTAGAGTCTAAGATGTATTGCTAAGCTGTGCTTCAATGCCAATTCTCGAAGCAGGATTACCAAGCAGTGTGTATCTGTAATACTAAGTTATATTAGTATTGCACTAAAATAAACAAAAGTGAATTTGAATTACACTAATCTGGCGTAGCAATCAATATACCGCCAGATTGCGATTAAACTTTAACAATGTACAGGTACCTCATTTATATTATAACAACTGTAAATTTAGTTTGACAATGCTGTCGATTTCTATCTCATAAATCAATTATAAAGTTAAGTAATTTCCCTTGTGGATTAGCGATGAAAAACTGATGACAATTAAATTACAGAAACTTACTACGATATTTAATCAATTTTTCCAAATTCACTTATTTAGTATGGCTTCTTTAACTCGTTTTAATGTAGCTTATTCATAGTATAACTATAAGATAATAGTGCCGTTTAAATATTTGAAACTTGTTTCATTCTTGAACATCATCAATAATGATACAATAGTTGCTTGATATCAAGCTGCAACTATTGCTGATATAATAAGCATTACAATCATCAGAATTATTGATTACATTATTCTTACCTTCTCTTCACATGCTAATTATAATTATTGGATACAGGTGATTAGCAGTGGAATATGATCGTAAGCAACCAGTTACAAGATATCCATAAATTGTTTAATATTGCGTCAAAACTTTTAAGAGTCAATTTTAGCGGCGAATACTTGATAAGTTGGTATAAATCGTTAAAGTGCATCAATTACTATATTATATGATCATTAATTTTCTAGTCTTATGCTTGGTTTCATCTTGGAAATTAGATAGATCAAATCATATACATAATTAATTGATTATTCCGTAACTGAGTTATTGATATTGTTTTCGAATTGTTTTTGTTTTGATCTAAAACTTGACAGTACACGCTCTGTAACGTTTAAATACATTCCATATAAACTGATGAACCTGAAACTAACGAAATTTTTGTTTTCTTGCTCTTTGCAGTATATACTATATGTGCGTAAAATATGGCTAAAGCTTAAAATGCGGCTATTAAATAAAGCATAATAACCGATTTCAAATATTAGCTGTAAGATACGCGCATATATTCGATTTATTATAGGATCAAATGTCAAATAAGCAATGTATAAATTTATAAATCTAGCTATTAGGAGATCCTGTGGGGCTCAGTATTTTCGCACCACATTGCGCCTGAATTGGCAAACTGATTAGGATAGGATAAATCAATTGGATAATTTATTATTTACTATTAGTGGAACCAGTACTATAGCATTATTATTCAATCATTTCTGTGTTAATTTGCAAAAAAACGACGTAGCTCATACTATCAGAATGGGTACGAATATAAATTATGCGATATTATTTAGTCGTCGTTTACTATCCAGATATCTTATCGTACCGTATCTAACTTAAAATTTCGTGCAAGAGGTAAAGAAATGAATAAAACTGTGCTACCATTAGCGGAAGTAGTCGTATTTTAAGATAATTTAATAGACATATTTGACATTAAATAAAATTATACGGTTCGGATAGAGTTTAAATGTAGCATTAATCAGAAAGCTTATCGTTAGTTAGATCAGTTAAAAATTTATCATTATCTTTGGTTTCTACTATTAAATCATGGAACTTAAAAGCTACATTGCTTTTTCTGCGTAGCTCATTTTTTTGCATTTAAAGTAATGCTTTATAGTAAGACTGGCTAATCTGTACGTGATGGATCAACATTTCAATACTGTATTAAGCTATCCAAATAAGTTGGCATTTAGATGCTAACGTAATCAACTGCAAATCATCATGTTTATGATTCTTAATTCCCCTCCCCCCATAAGTATGTTCAAGGACTATAGTATTGTATTATTTTCGAAAAGATCTAGGTTCATTATAACCGGGTATACTTGCTACTAAATGATCCAATATCATTATTATACTGCAGAGTTGCCCGAGTTCTCAGAATTACGGTAGCGATTTTTGAGCGATCATAGTGTCTTATACGGTATACGAGTACATCTTTCACAACATTAAAAATGTCTCAATATTACTTTTAATAGCGATTTTAAATCAATAGACTGATTCCAGGGCATGGTATTACAAAAATTATACTAATAATATTAAATAATTGGATAACTAGATAAGCACAACTACTATCGAACTTCTTACTATGTTCTTTAGAGTATTAATCGTGTAATAGAAAGTATTGGTAGTCTAACAGATAGTAATATTTGTACAACAATGAATAATTATGGAACAAAAGTATTGTTGTTGTACTACGACATATATTAATTATCGTGTAGGCTTGGTCAATTGTTGAGATCCTTAGATCAACAAGATTTTTCCTTCATATGACTCTACCTTATGGAAAGAATAGAATATGGTATATGCCTTGAGAAACTTCTAGTATACCGTACTCTGCAAGATCATTTCATTTTATTACGTGGCGTTTGCTTTTATTTTTAAACATGGCTTGTAAGCTTGATATCGATCATATCAACTTCTAGTTACTTTTCTGAATCACGTAATATTCTAGAAATAGTCAAGTTCCTAGAAGAATTCTTGAGGGTTACATATGAGGTATAATTGCGATTTTCTTCCGTCCCATTGCGTGACATATCCCTTTATTTATAAATATGGTTAGGAAGAATGAACTTGTATATCTAAGTCCAAATACGTATTCATACAATGTTAGGATTTAAAAAAGGTTCCCTAAAAGAGCTCTTATATATATATAACATATAACATATACGTAACCTATATACCTTTAAATTTTGAATATGACAAGAAAAATTCTTTGGGGTTATTGGAAATGCTCTTTAAATTATAAACCTGCATGTTTTGCATGGTGTTGTTATACATTTTAACCCTTCTTTTTCAAACAAAGTCGGAAACCTTGCTTCATGCATTTACATAGAAATATTGTGCGTTATTTTTTGTTTCGAAGTATTGAAAATTATGAACGAATTGCTAGAAGAAGTCTTCAGCAGACTTTATGGAAATATTTTATACGGCATGTTTTGTAATTTCATTGCATAGGTTAAGTATTGCCGTATTTGAATATGGCTTTGAAAGCATGTCCTCGCATCTGTCCAAATACGTATTTTGTATCAATTTGTTGGGCCAATATAACATTTCCGAGAGATATTTAAGCGTGTGCTTAGAGCAGAATCATATCAGTTATTTCAAGTTTCAGTTTTTCCGTCAGTGTTAATTTGCTTCCTGCTTTACTATGAGGAAAAAGGAAAATGATAACAATAATATTGCCAGAAAAAGTGATTCCGAAAGCCAAATAGATAGCCGTGGCAATTCTCCCACATTGAGGGAAGAAAATGAAAAAAGCAATACCAACGATTTTCAGAAACCGCCTTTTTCGTATAATGCATTAATTTTGATGGCTATTAAAAGTTCGCCTAATAAAAGATTGACGCTAAGTCAAATCTACGATTATATCGTGAAAAACTATCCATACTACCGTAAGAAAAAGCAAAATTGGCAAAATTCAATCCGGCATAATTTGAGTTTAAATAAATGCTTTGTTAAAACCGAACGCAGTTTCAACGATCCTGGAAAAGGGAGTTACTGGGAATTGAATCAATCATGCGAGGATATTGAAATTGGTCCTATAACTGGCAAATTACGCCGAAAGAATAATTCGTCGAATAGATTACGCTCGTATCAAATCAGCTTTAGTCCTTATTCGATATCGTCTGTGACTGCGACCACTGCAGGTAATGGAGTAGCACGCAGTAGGCCTTCAACATTTTTTAATGCACATTCATTCAACGCTCAAGAAAGCCTTACTGCTGCTGACCCTTTCGTCGGTAATAATCAGATTGCTCTTGCTGCCAATGCATTTCGGCTGCCGTCAATATCGACATCTATTCCTATGATATATAATATTTCTTCTGCCTATTCCTATCATCACCCTCTTTCGGGTACACAGAATTCATTTGTTAATATATATTAATCGGCAAAAAAGATTTTTGCCATAAATCATTTGGTCGTAAATATTCAATATATATGACGTGGTTAGAAAACTTTCGCATTTGATGCGAACAGAGTGATAAGAAGAAGTTGAATAGCTTCCCTGTTGATACTAACAGTATTTTCTCGTATGTTTGAACGTTATTTAGTTGTTGGATAGCTAGTGGAAATAAAGTGATATTAAAAGTAGTTTATGTTCGAAAGCTATAAACTCGTACTAGTAGAATTTATATTGTTGACGTGAGCAAAATAATTAGAATGGTAGTAATCGTTGATAGATTACATGTATATTGGTTTTGAGGGTTGAATGGTTTATAGTTATATTGGTTATGATAGTTGATGATAAAAACGCTGGAATTATTAGATATGTTAGCAGCTATGTATCTTATTTGACTAAGTAAAATAAAATTTGATCAAATCCGTTTAAGCGTATTAAAATGAGTTATTATAGTTTATGATCAGAAATTGTACAATTACAAACGCACGTATATTTAAAATGGACCCCATCGATATGAAGCTGACTTGTAACCTAGATAGAAATGCTCGCGTATATATATCCTCGATCGCGGCGTTAAATTAATACACAATTGTCTTTTTTATGAACAAAAAGTACGAATTCGGTTAATCGTTGTTCTCATGCAGTTCAGCAAATTATGTATTTAGCAGCAGTTTCTGCCTCGAAATAAGTCACAAACATATTCGCATATATTTCTGTAGTATGCAACTATTTCTACTTACTGCGTGCTTGGATCAATAACTCAGCCTTGTGTCTTAAAGGTACCTTCTTGTCGTTAGATAAACCAACTCCAGTTTGAAAATTATACTGTTCGAATTTAATCCCTTGCGGTGCACCTTGCTTAATAGCGATTGCCACTACTTGCCATGCATTCTCTAACGATGTTAACAAACCAACTCTGGTCCAGTTGTAGTGCTTGACTAAAAGTTGTATTAATTTACCAACAGCGGAATAAGGGCCCGAAGTACGAGTAAATGTAGCAAATTTTTTCTTATCAGATAATGAGGGAGATGCACAACCCCATGATATCATGGGTACATTCCAAGCAGCTGCCAAAATGCCTCCTGGCTCACACCCAACACTACAAGCAGGTCCAACGAATGATCGAACTGGTTGTTGCTTGTTTCGCCACAGATTCGCCATAGCGGTCAAACTATCTTGCGTTGTACAACCACTGTTGACTAGAGTAGTATATAGGCGATAGTTGACTAATACAGACGAATCATTGTTAACGGTTTCGATTGCAATATCTGCACCAGGTATAATATGAGTGGGTGCTATCCAGCCACCTGATGTTGGTATCATTAATCCAATATGCAACAATTGTGTTTGCTGCGAACTACTGTTATTACATAAGACCATTAAACAGAACGGTCCAGTCAATAATAACGTCAATACTACCATCCTTGAAGCCATTTTCAATTACTACTGCTTAAATTGCGGATAATAATTTTATAATTTTTCCAGTAGCTCCTTTCAATTATCCTATAATAAACATTGTATATATTTGAATTAGAATAAAACTATTACATGCATACTAAATTATAGTCGAAGCTATGATTATAATTTTAATTTTCCTACTATTTATTTGATTAATGATTAAAAATAAATTGTAAAAGGTGTTTCGACTTTCGAATTGATTAATTTTACCAAATTGTTCTTATCGTTTAATAACAAGAGATTTAGTAACATTAATTGAGAGATGGTGATGGATTGATAGGTGAAATATGATAGGTGAATGTTTCTCATGCGGCGAAATTGAATAATTTTGGGCCAAGAGGTAAGCGTAATTTTTAACTATTGAACCAAAGATTAGTAGATCTTACGGTAAGATTTAGTAATCCTTGATTGAACGATGGTGTTCCAGTTACCGTACTAATTTCATATACAGTATAGTTGCAGTTACGCAAGCATCGGAGAAAGTAAGGGTAACCGTATACACTTCAAATCAATTCGATTGCAAGAACGGATTTATTTCAATATTACAAAATGATTGGAATAAAAACGAAGTGACTAAAATTTTGAATAATGATTATCTTACGGAAGAAATTTCTCTTTGGATTTTTTCCGCGTAGTCAATTTGATTAGTTTCTTTGATTTTCAGGAATTACTCAATGTCCTTGGATAAGATCAATCTGTAATGAGAACGTTGAATTAGTAAAATTAGAGTTAGAAAGAGCTTCAGCTTAACTTGAGATTACTATCATTTCACGGCATTTAAGAAGGATAAGTTAAGCTAATTTTATAGCTCAGGCTATTCATTTGTATGTCTGATAATAGTATGTCGTAACTTCAGTAATCTAGACACTTTCTATAAACGAATCGATTTACAAGTAACTTGAACTGAAAAGAATATTAACGGATATTGTAGGCCAATTAATAGTATCTACCAAAATTTTCAGTATATTTATAGTTATGTAAAATCATAAATTAGAGTAGATGGTAGTTGGATCAGAAAGCTTAAGGCAAGATCAATTTACCTATAGTGTTCCAGTATAGTTACATCAACTTCAAGTATCGATATTAGTACTCAGCAAGATATTGTAAATCAACTGGATTGGCCTTGTGTTATCGTATGATTTCAGCCAATTACTGCTATACTTTGTAGTTCACGTAATACCCTACTGCATAACATAAATTTTTCTGTGAGTGTAAAGGAGAAGTAGTGTGAAACAGTTATGCTTGTGATAATTATGATAAATATTATAAATATTAAGCATTTATATATAATTGTACCCTTATTATATACTTATTACCAAACGAGGTCTTGCATATGGTATAATGAGAATATAAAGATATTTAGTGTACTGTTTAGGGAAGCGTAAGCTTCTGTTCTTATATGCTTTATCATCTACTGTTATTCAATTCAGCTAGCAATGGCTTACAATTGTGCTTTACTAAAGAATTTCGATGAGTGCTATATTGTACAAATTGTACAGAAATCAATATGTATAAAAATCGGTTAAAAAATGATTAAAAACAATGCACGTTCATTTTAGTTGCAGCTATTTTGAATCTCCGTATAAGAGAAAGAAAAGGTTAAAATTTTCTCTGAAGGTCAAATAGGTATAATAGACATTTGTCTACAAGATTATTTATAGTATTGACTATTTTTGCATTATGCTGTAGCTTTACCCCACCTAATGTAAACTCAAACTTTAGGTAATCTACTATGAATCGACGGTAAGAGTAGGTATTATTATCATTTACATATATGTGACAAACATTATTCCTGATATATATTCTTATTCCAATATATATGCACTATTTCTTTTTATGAAAAGGTAATTAGCATCTAAGTTATATCCATAAATTTGTAAACTCAACAGTTTGAAGTTTATAGGTATTTGTATAGGAGATCTCGAATAATCAGAGAATTACTTCTTCAGTATGAAGATATAGAACAGATAAGGTGTGAATAATTGTAGAGATAATTTATAGAAAAGAGCTATTTTCGATTATTTGAAAGGAATGAGGACGGAAAGAAATTAATGCCGTAGTTTATTCGATTTATACTCGTTTCATTTAATCTCACATTCATTTAAGAAATCTTCTGTAATTGCTTTGATTAGTGCAAGATTGCAAAATTTTGGTTGTACTATCTCATTTTTAGTATATTTTGATTATCAAAATTTCTTATGAAGACAAAATATTATTGTTACATCCGATTGGGTTCATAAGCCAGTATTAAATACAATCTATCTATGGCGATGTGCTGTCCATTGTCTAACTGAAATGAACTATTTAGTGGCTAGCGTTTCATAAATTACAATTTTGAAAATAATTCTAACTTAGTGCTATTGCAATAAATAAATGTATTTCCTTTTCTTCCACTGACTATGAAATTATTCCTATCTAAAATATGGCCGAAATCAGTGAATTAATAATTAAGATGAATATTAAGTGCGCGATCATATTCGACAAGAAATGATTTTTAATTATTCTTTACCTTTGAAATGTTCACCTTGGTATATTAAAAATCTCTTGTAAATACTTTAAAAGGGAAGAAAAGGATAATGTTTATTCTAAATAGCAATGTTGAGGTACCATGACGTAATATGGTACTATTTTCTCAAGACTAAGATATTTAATTTATAACGCTCCAATAACATCCTGATTTACTTTTTACAATTAGTGTCGTATTTTTAAGATTACCTAAAAATTTGATCAAATGTTCTAGCAAAAAAAGCTAGCCACTTAGTATAATATTATTATAGGGCGATCGAACAGAATTTTCATCCCCTAAGGATAAAGTGTTTAATTAAAGTCATAATAACCTGAATTGCATATAGAAAGAATTTATTTATATCTATAAAAGCATACGCTAGCAAATAAATATTTCAGAACTAGAACACTACGAGATATTTCAATAAATATCAAATACTGCGGAGACCTTAACTTGTAACTCTCTGAGATACGTTCAGCTTTATGATCATTATATCGGCAATGATATTTTTGTTGGTATTATTTAAATACAGTAGGTTGTTGACTAATCATTTAAATATCAAAGTTTAATATCAGGCATTATAATTATACAAGACTAACCTGAAAATATGAAGTTGATAGACTAGATGTGTAACATAGATCATTTCTTTCCCATGTTAAACATAAATGTCAATATACTGTGAGGAATGTCCCAAAGAGAAAATATTCAACGAATTATTAATATACTAGAGTAATGTTTTAATTGTAATAGTGTTTCGTTTTGCTTTAAAAGTTATTGCAATTGCTTAACTTTAATTAAAATTGCTTTGTAATCATCAAACCAATAGTATTCAATTTTTATTTCTTCTTACAAGTTTCATTGTTAGTATAAGCATAAAATTCCACTTAATAATACAATATTGCAAGTGAAAGCCATTTAATTTGTGGAAATTATTAAAATAGACGTACTATAAGTGGTTACTTTTTATTTGCTTTTGTATACCGGTATTCAACCAGTAAAATGTTGATTAATTTACGCACATGTATCAGTTATGTTCTCTCATCCGTCACTGATATTTTCAAAGAACGTAATATGTCACCCTAGGCTGCTAATCTAAAGTAATTAAAGCATTTTACTACTATTGTCAAGAAAAATATCTTCTATTCGTATTTCTTGCTTTGATCAGAAAGTGATTGTTTTAATCTATTTAGTGTTTTATCTAGGACGATCATCAGATATTGTTGTGTAAGTCTCTATTTATCAAAATATTCAAAGGATTTTATAAACATCAAAATGGTTTAAAAAATTAGACAAAAGGAGGAATTGGAAAGATCAACCTTTGGAAGTAAAGAGTCTAATTTTTTTATCTTACATGGGTTAGGGGCAACAACCCTTTGCTTGCATATACATGTATACGTGTATATTCCTCTTAATTATTTTATTGATACTAAAGTTTGCATTGAACTTATTCGTTAGCCTGAAGTCAAGTTTTGGATAACGTTGAGCACTCGCTGCAAATTAAACTTCATATTTATGTTTAAAATTATGCATGAATAGCATTCTATGTAAGTTTTAACTGTTAAAGATAAAGAATAAGTTAATATACTAGGATATTAGTCAGAAGAAAAGCCATTATGTAAAATAGCATTAACGTCGGTCAATATCACTAAGAATTACATTGATGTCGATCTATTTTAATGGATATCAAAGCATAACCTAAAATATGTAGCTATCAACCGTACTGTACCGGTAGAATTCACTATTGGCTAGTGAACATAATAGGATGGCTAGAATGATAGCTATTTAATATGCTATTAGATTATTCATACGATTACAATTACAAATTAATATCAGTAACTATACTGGACAGATTGGCAAAGTAGTAGAATTTCTAACCTAACTCGTGTTATGGCTCTTGCGAATACTAAATATCATTTAGACTTAAGATGCTTTTCTTATAATTTTTGTGATCAATTAGCAGCCTAAATATGATGAGTAAACGGTTAAATACTAAAAATGGAATTTGATTACTATACTTGCGCAGCTAACCAGCATAGCAATGCATAATACATACAATATTGATAGTACTGTATCTGATTTTAAAACATGAGAATGTAATGATTAACTAGTTAATAGAATAAGTTAAAAGAAGTAACGAACTAATAACTAGTACAGTGATGACTAAGAATAAAAATACTCATATTTCTGTTTACTAGAG